CCCCGCTGCAGCTATAGCAACTGCTGCCTGCCAGGAAAGCAACACGGCCCCCACCCCCCGGCGTGTTACAATTAGAGGTATTTGCCAAATTATATCTTGGTGCAAGCTCGCTGCCACCAGGGCTGGTTACGGACGGATGAGTTTGGCCCACAATGCTTAAACTCCCAGAGGGTTATTTCTCCTCCATGTGAAGAAAATGCTTCCTACCATTGCAGCTCGGCAGGGTCGTTGGTTCAGAGGAGCGATCAGGGCTCTCGCGCATGGATTCAGCACTGCTGGCTGCAAACACTAACCTGCCTTCTTTTGACTTGTACTTTCAGCACAGCATAAACAATGTAATTATTTAATAAGAGTAATGACAAATACAGCATGCTGTGCCTCTTGTGATTATTTTTCTTTGCAAATCTTCGAAAGGGAGCTCTGGGTTTTGGGCAGGCAACGCTTGTTTTATTTTTCATGTTTCCATGCAGCGAATCCTCACTACCAATTAGTGTGCTGAGTGTATTTCAGTGTGAAATAACTATTGCTGTCGCAATGAAACCAGCTCCTGGTATAACGGCAATGCCAATTAAAAGCAAAAACAAGAGCATCATCACACGACTGCAAAAGCTTCACTAGCATCTAAGACACAAACTTAGAGAAGCAAAAATACAAAAAAAAAAGTTGAATTGAATTTACTTTTAAGAGTTTAGGAAGGAAAGCTGAACTCTCACTTATGTGCAAACAAGTGGTGTTTCTGCAAACCTACTGTCAGCAGCTGGGACAGCAGGCCAGGAGATGGGATATTCGCAGGAGCTTCTGCAGGGCTGCCCCGGGCAGGTGTGAGACACCAGGGTTTCCCTGGCAGGAAGCCCTGAAGTTGCTTTAGCAGCCAGCAAGAGCACCAGGTCTGCACTGCGCTCCCAGTCTGTGGTCCCAGTCTCCCCGGTTTAGCTCAAGGACAGCAGAGCAAGCTGTGCTTTGTGTTTGAGAAGGGCTCGTTCTTCTGCCCCAATAGCAACGTGCATCCTGAAAGAGGGTCCAGAGCTAGAGGAATTTAGGACTGCAGCACTAACTTGAAACCAAGGAAGCTTTTCTGCCCCAGCCCTACCAGGTGTCAGCTCCACAGAGCAGCGTGGCCATTTTGGAAACCCAGATCAGCTTATGGCAATGATTTTTTGAAGTGGAAGAGCAGTGTGACTTTCAGTTTCTTTACAATTAAGTAGATGGGAAATGTACTCTTCCTGTTGAGAAACTCCCCTGGGTACTTAAGCTTTGGGTCTTTTGGTGCCAAGTATTTTATTATTTTCAGTTACGGAAAAGTAAGTTACACTGAACACGAACACAGTCCAAAAGCTCCATCCTCCCCTTCACTGGGAAATCTGATGGAAGGAAAAGCGGTAAAGACTGCAGTGTTAAGAATAAATTTAGGCAGTTAAAAGACTACTACTATAATCTAATCTGGTTTAGATGCAGCATTAATTGTCTCTTATCACTGGAAAAAAAGTGTCTACCTTTGCTCTGAAATGCTTGCTGTAATTGCAGGGGTTGATTTTAAATGGGAAGACATCTTCTTTTACTATATGTAGTTAAAATCATCAGACTTACTATTGAATAGACTGAATTAAGGATAAACAGAAAGTCACAGTTTTCAGAGGAAACTTGCTACCCAATTAAAATATTTGTTTTTGAAAATCTGTTCTCATGATTGGGTTCATGAATAAATTCTTATGGAGGTTTCATGCCTGCTGGACTGAATAATCCCCTGGAATATGATAGATCGTATTTTGGTTTTCTGTAAAAATGTGCGGCCTCTTGTGTGCCCCCAGGATTGAGGCCCTTCTCACCGCTGACCTGTCCACTGGCTCCAGCAGGCCTGACACGGAGGGCTAGGTAGAAAGGCCAATACGTTCCCTACCACTAATGCTAATATGTGCTGCAGAATGAACTATTTCTCTGCGAACAGCAATCAAAGCTCAATATTTTCTATTTTCTGGTCACAATGATTTTTCCAAATTTGACCTACTGCTCTAAAATGTGGCAGGTATCTGGGAGGAAGAATTTGTACCTCAGTCAAGACCAAAATGAGAAAACCTCTGCCTGCTGCCTGCCTTGGTTCAAGATGAATTAGGCTGATGGAAGAGGCATTTGGCATGAGAACATCTCCTGTCTTCCCATTCTCCTTCACAGACTTGAAGATATCCAGGGAACCTATGGAACTGCCAGTTGAAATGGTTCTCCCTCACCTTCTTCCTCTCAAAACCCCCCGTTCTCACGTGCAGTTCGGGAGGGAACAGGAGAGCGGCCTCGACAGAAGCGGAGCAGGGAGGGCCTCTGCACTAGGCCTTGGGTGTGGGGAGGGCGTCCGCACTAGGCCTTGCCGAGCGGCGCCGGCAGCCTCGCGACCTGGCCGGGCCGCTCGCTGGGGCACAACCCGCTGCTCGGGACATCTGTTTGCACCACCTGCTCGTTAACAGAAGGTGGAGGCCTCCTTCCCAGCAGCGGAAAGCAAACCCACGGTGCTGCTCTTTACAGCTGTGCTCCTACCTGGTAGCCGGAGTCATTACAGGTCATGTAACATTTGCCGCAGTTGATGCACGTTTCCTCGTCGATCACAGCCACAACTTGCTCTGTGTTGCTGAGCTCGCCATATGTTCCAATATACTGCAGTGCTTTCCCAATTACATCCTGGGAAAAAAAATTATTGACTCATTTAGGAGTACCTAAGTTGTTTCTATAGCTGCGTAGGAGCACACTCTAGTACTTTAATAAGCAAGATTTAGCTATCATCGTGATGATGTTCAGAATTTTTGTTATAAATGTTAAAGTTTTCAAGCTTAACACATCCTGTAAAATACAAAGAACGCTCCATACAGGAACATTTCAAATGCAGGAAGCAGTTAAAATATTTATGTGTACGCTAATAGGTTACACATTTAGCACTTGATTTTGAATGTGCTACTTTAATTCATTTGTGTTTTTACCATTATTTTGTGAAGCTTCCAGAAGCAAAATGGAAGAGAGGAGAGACACAAACTCATCACAAAAGCAATCACCTGATCATCCTGGCTATTTTTTAATAGCACAGATTTAAGAAATCACAAGAAGAAAAGAAAGGGGCATAATCAAATAAACTGACAAAGAGAACAATAGCTGCTTTTATTTCTTTAGAAATATGAGCAAATTACATGAAGATGATCAGTTTATTGGAAATATTGTACAGGAATAAGATGTTGGTCTGATTCTGCAAATCTTGATGCAGTTCTGTGAACCTCACAGGTAGGAGATGCCCAAATGGAGGTTTGTGTGATCAGTCTTCTACACCTGCACGTGGCAGGGCAGAGGATGGGTACAGAGCACAGCGGGAAGACCTTCTCTCTGGAAGAAGCTCTTGGGGTAGAGCAGATCTCAAACCAGCCCTGCTGGACGTGAGGGGCAGCGTGCAGTGCCGTGGCGGTTCAACTGCACTGAGTCACTGGCACAGATGGGACAATCCCAGGATTCCAGACTACACGGGCACAGCACGGATCTGATGGACGGAAGACACACACTGCTCCATGTTAAAAGACTTACTGAATGGCAGTGATATTGGTTGACTGGATATTTTCTGAGGTTACTAAATGGGCTTCAGCAACAACTCCTATGCTGAAAAACTAGCTAGATTATAAATATGGGATTCTATATCGTTAGAAAAAAAATAATTGTGGTCAGTAAGTGAAGGTTATAGGATGCAGCAATACATTTTATTTTCACTGCAAAGCCAGGAATAATTGTTAAGTGTTAGAGAAATTTCACTGAGTTACAGGAGAGCAGAACTGGCTTCAAAATCATGATACCATAATACACCAAGAAGTCATTATGATTTTCATTATGGTACTTGATCCAAGTCAATTGAAAAACTCTCAAGATAAAGCCAAATATGAGTCACAGACAGGCCTGTCTAGAATTATAAGCTTCAAAGTGTTTACCTTTGGTCTTGCATGACCAAGAAACATGATAAGAATTTCTTTTCATATTCTGTTTCTCAATATTTTTTGAACAAGCAATACTTACCCCTATCAGTCAAAAAATATGCCGAAATGAACTTGAAGCACACACTTCAAGCCTGTAGTAGTATACTACATTTAACCTGTATAACTCATAATCACATACAATGCTCTCTATTGTTTTCCATTCCCTTTTAGAAAATTGAAGAACTGGATTACAGTAACTTAAATTTTCATTGCATATGTTATTTTAGGCAGCTTCACTTTCAAACACATTGATCATCAATGACTCTTCTTATGCTGCCTCAAAGGAAAAAAGCCAGGATGACTTTATCAATGTTTCCTCGAAAGGAAAGCTTTGCTACACAAACTAACGCAAAAATGGGCACAAGCATGTCTTCCCGAGTACACAGAAAACTTGAGCAGAAGTTCTACTTCGTGAATGAATCGCTCCCTTTCATTTCAGAGAAGTTTTAGCTTTGAGGCCTACCTGACCTTGCTAATTTAAATCACAAGAGTATCTTTATGCAATGAGACAAAATTCTAGTTCATTGGATCCAGGAGCTATGGGAAAAGGGTGTTGCTATAGCTGAGGTAGGAAATTCAGCCACATGCCAAATCCAGAAAGACAAGGAAATTCTACTTTTTTCTTTGTTCCAAAAATACGTAGGCATTTGCCTGCACCAAAGCCCTGAGTTGCTTATGTATGAAACACCTTGGTGGCATCCATCCAACACCTAAACTTCGTCCTTCTTAGCAACATGTCTTAGGCATTAACGACCTTCCAGGATAAAACAGCTACAGCACTTTGCTAAAGGCAGCATGAAAACAGAGCCGAGGCTCTGTGCATGCAGACGGGTAACTGCAACTGAGCAAGACGTCTCGGCTTACTGACCTAGCGCTGGTCATCAGACCTGTGCAAGCGGACTGTGTGCATGCTCCAAATTCATTGCAAATCTGAAGCAAAATCTGTTTGCCTAAACCACTATTAAAGCTCAATTAGCCACTATGAAAGTGTTTAAGCTAATACTTTTTACTTTACTTGTGCAAAGGGCTAGGCTTGAGTATACAGCCCTTTGCTTCCACTGATGAGCTACAGTAACTCCATCAAAAGTAATCCCTTAAGAGAACTGCCCACACCTCTAGTTTCATTTCCACATCTTACTCGGAATCGTTCACGGTTTACTCGGAATTGCTCAGCAGTCTCAGGGATGCTGTTGTTCTCAGGGTTCTATTGTAGTCTGTACCAGAATTTTAAAATTGTAACTGTAGAATTCTGCTCAAGCTTGTTGCAAGCTTCCTGTAGGATTGTCAGCCTGTATCCAACCTGTTACAGATATCAGAATACAGATGCGTGTCTGTGTATAGTCTGCTGCCTCCAGCAATATTAAGTATCCTAAAAGCCTCTCTCTTGTGTATATAGCCCCCAAATCTTCCACTGTATGTCACAAATGCAAGTAGTGCCTGCAATGCTAGACTGTGTCTCCTTATTTCAGAGTTTGAATAAAAGACATAAAACCTGTGCAATATACAGTGAAGTAGCTTTTCACTGTCTGCTCATGTTTTAAAGGTATCTACATGAGAAGATTCCCACTAGTGAAGAGCTTCTCAATCCAACAGAAAAAGGCATCACAAAATGCAGTGCTGGGAGCTTAAGACATGAAACTCACAACCAGGAAGCAGGCAGACATTTAGACAGCAGAGGCAACTAACCTGGCACAATTTTCCCAGGGAGGTCTTGGATTCACATCTCTGTTCATAAAGGAGTTGGATGTTAAAATAAAAAGTCTGAAGAGAAGAGCTGCTCAGATAATCAGTGGATGGAGGGTCTTGCATCCTTCCAAGAGGACCCAGAAAAGCCTACCAGGATGTTTAGCCCAGCAAGATGAAGGCAGAGCAGAGATGTGATGTCTCTTTTTATATACATTAGGGAAGGAAAAGAGCTATTTAAGCAGATGACAATGCTGGCACAAGAACACATGGCCATGAGCCAGCCAGGAATAAAATTAAAGCTTGAAATTAGATTTTTTTAAAATAGGAAACGAGTGAGGTGGTTTGAGGGAGTTAACAGCCTTCCAGATAAGTGGATAAGACAGACAGACCAAATTTTGGGATAGCACAAGGTAAGTCAAGGAAAGGTACTGAAATGGTTGTTCAGAACTTAATCAAAATGGATTTCTCCAGCCATAAGACCTGCAAAGGGAATAACAAAACGAATGCAGGTGACACTGTTGGATTTGTAACCAAGTCTCACTTCTCCCAGATCACAAAACACACTTTGTGGGGCCTAGGATCCGCAATAAGGAGGAGGATGGCATTCTAGAAGCCTGGAAGTGATTTCAAAAGACTGTGTCATTGACACATTTACACTCCTGGATCATCTGTCTTTTAATCACCTGTTTCTCTCAAGCAGGAACTCTATTCATCTGTGAAGTCTCAAGACTTTACTGACTACAAAAGTAACAGTACTTAAAAATATTTTGCAGGTGCACTCTTTTTACAGCTTCTTAAGCTATCTCGGAGCTTCTTGCTTCCATCGAATCATAAATGTTTGGAACGAAATAAACAGTGCAGTGAGAAATAATCAGCTTTTGCAGCTGAAAGTGCAGTTTCACTCTAGGAAGTGACTGTCTAAAATGGCACTCTGGGATTCTACACTTAGTGTATCTCAATGGCCTCCAGATCAAATTTGCTCTGTTTACTGTATAATGACTTTTTTGCCAACTGTCAGACCTGCAGACAGAAGTCAGGTTGTGAAAGTCAAGCTGTGTTCTTTCTGCCTTGTGCATTATCAGCAGCAATAAAAAAATCTGAAAGTTAGATTTTGTCCTGAGTTACACCTTTGCAATCTCAATGACTTGGAGTGCTCCTTTAGGTTACCGCTGTGCTGTCCCACTCTTCTCCGCAAAACTGCACCAAACAAACCAGGAAAGGAATTTAGCCCTGCAGCCGGCCCTGGCAGGGAATTCTGTTGCTATGGTGAGAACGAGAGCAGAATCCATTAGTTTTATGTTACTAATGAGAACAGAAAAAAATTCATTCTGTCACTAAGCTAAGCAGATGTGGGTTTGAGTACACACAAGGAACAGATCTGTTCAGTAGGATGTCCTTATTTTCACATGCTACTTTTATTACTATAGTTGCATTTTTAATTTTAATATATCAAGCATTTTACAGTGATTAGCTTTTCATTAGGCGTCATGTGAGCAAACCTGTAGGTAAAAATACAAGTCTCGGTCCAGGTATAGTTCCTCAGTAGCCTTGTGAGCCACAAGTCTCCATCTTCATGCAGATCCCACTCTGTGAGGGTCAGCACAAGCCTCTCACTAGAGAGTCGTGAACAAGGATCTCAGATAGGAATTTCAAAGGAATTGTGTACACCGGCGCTTTTAGCATGTATTCCGAGTCCCCATGAAACCCTCGGCGTGTTACATGATGCTCCTGGGAAAGTTTCCCTGGTTGGGGCTGCCAGCAGCTGCCGGTGAGGATGAGGAGTCCTCGGCAGAGCCCCAGGCATCAAGCTCTGCCTCTCCTGAGCACCCTGTCCCCAGGGTGGGCTCCATCTCCGACCGCAACAAACCATCTAGGAAAGCTCTGCGCTTGGTCCCAAGGGCTCTTTATTGTTTAGGAGATGTTGGTGCAGCTCGCAAAATTCAATAGGTTCTGAAAGAACAAGGGCCTCCACAAAAATGTCCTTACCAAGGAAAAAGAGAGCATTGAAAAAGGATGAAAAGTTGCAAAGAAACTACATGGTATGTCTCCTTTGGATAAAAGACCCATCTTTTGTCTCCTTTAGAGAGATATCTGTCTTCCACCTGCTCAGTTTTTTTTAGTAATAAAGGTGAGGTTCTATCAAAGGAAAACAAAAGAAGAAAAGTTGGGAAAAACAGATTAAGAGGAATAAGCCACCAAGACAGGAGAGCACTTGGACAGGGTGAATTTAATATAAAGTAGCTAACAAAAATACGTAATTTCATTGAAATAAACATTATTATATTGAAAGATTACAAATAATTGCCAGCAGTTAAAGAAGTTACTAAATGCGCTCTGAGATTGAGAGACCTCTAAGTCTTATTTCAGTAAATCAAGTAAAACAGTTGTGGTACTAATTAAAGGCAGACTTGCAAAATAACTCAAATGAACCTTTACTACATAACTCAATATGGCTTTTGTAAAGGAAAATTGTGCTTCTTGGATCTATTACAATTCTTTATATACACTGTGAGGCAATAAATACAGAAGAATCAATTGGTAAATTTTATCTTTCAATGGGCCTCTGACACAGGCTTTCACAAGAAATTAAGCAGCCATGACGTGAGATTGGAAGCTGGCTAAACAAGTTGACCAAACAGAAATAAAAAGCTGGAATATGATGATCAATGTTCTGAAAAGGCAAACTATTAACAGAGGAAAGTGCTCAATTTTCTGGTTTATATGTGAAGTTGCTTAATATGCTTACCTGTGTTTCAAGTAAAGGTCTGAATCAGAACCTCTGAAGTCGACCCTGACTTTAATTTAAACAAAATTTAAAAAAAAAAACTATGGAAAACTTGTACATTCACAGTGTCCTCCTTCCTCTGTTTTGGGCTACTAACTCAATACCATTTATTACACAGTCCCTTTAAGCGCTCTTACGGCAAACAGAAGGAGGAAGGAAAAGAAAGGTTGACTCTAGGATGTCTCCACACATCTAAAGATTAGCTCAACCTTGCTTAAACTGTCCTATCTAATGAGAATCCTTTCTGAAGTACTGTGCTAGGGAAGGGATCACTATGGGCTATTGCTATTGCAGTGATTCATGTTGGAGCCAATACTTGGAGAAGCAGACTCAGAGTCCCATAAATCATGGCTGCAGAATTACTCGAGAGGAAAAAGGAGTGCCAGACACACAGTTCCACCTGACGCAAGCAAGTTCATGATGAAGAATGCAACTGCATCATCTTTTGCAGGCAGGCAAGTACAGGCTAAATCTACTCGCATGTGCAGCCACCCTGATGCGGGCCAGGAATGATCCAAATCATCATTATTGCTCTGGAGAGCTTTATGGATTGTACACAACTCTGGAGTAAACGTGACTAGATGGTCTCCAGCCAGGTGCTTCCGGCAGTGGTAAAACTGACTCGCATGCACGTGCAGAAGCCCATGAGGACACATTGTCACTCACATGGGGAAAATATGTTCAGATAGGAGGACCATAACCTTGAGAGACACTACGGATATTTTTCCAACAGATGTGGGACAACATATCATGTCCTAGCTAAGCTGATAAGCAAAGCTATGTCAGAAAGTTTAAAGAAGTTTAAACTTGTTGAATAGGGCAACCTATACAGCAAGACTTGTGGAAAAAAAAAGGCAGATAAATGAGGATCAAATATTACAGTATAAGCCTTCAAGGACAAAGAACTAAATTATTAGAAGAAAAAATAAAAACAGAAAAGACATAAGGAAAGAAAATTAAAGTAATAAGGACGTAACTTGAAGTAGGCAAAAACATGCATTGCAACTGTACAGAACTGCAACTGAAAGGAAAAGATTCAGGGCATATATCTGAGCACTGCAGGAACTCTGATATTACAGAAAAGTGCAAAAAGAAACAACTCTGTTAATATCAAAGTATGCGGTTTCAATTAATATTGAAAAATAGAGAAAATAAAGAGAAAAGCCAAGGGAAAAGCTATCCAAAAAATAAATTAGATTCTGGATAAAACCCTTCACAGAGGATTTTATGTCTATAAAAGGTATTTTGGCAGCAAGCAGATTTTAAACAAATGTTGGAATTTACATATTAGCAACCCAACAGCAGATCAGGCAAATGAGGGAGTTCCAGGCAGGCATCAGGAATTTTCAAGCAACCAGCCAAACCAAGGGACATTGCTGTTGAGGACCGCCAGCTCCTAGGTCTATCCAGCTTTCTAGAGTACCTACTTCTCCCTTTTTCCAGAAAACTGCAGGTAGGGTGGGGAGTAGCTGTAGGAGTTGAAAGGATTTAGAGGCTTCACCCAGGTAAAAGTCAGATTTCACAGACAGCCCAAACTGATGCTCAGCAGCCAGCCTCACACTCTGCTGTGACAGAGGTGACCCACCAGGCGCCCTGCAGATCCGGGAGCTGGTAATTCTGAGGGAGAGCAGCTCAGGGACAGTCACAGATAAAACAACTCAACAAGCCCATTGGGCTTCCCCTGTGGTGAGTCTGTGGTCAGGGAAGGGCACCAGAGCCACCTTCTCTCATTAAGCTTCACTCTGCTTCTGTAAAGAATATTCTGACTGTTCCTGGCAGATTTTCTCCACAAAATCTTACAGATGAATCTATTTATTACTTATAAACTTTGAATGTCATGTCATGTCACTTTAGTGATTCCTGCCTTCTCCTAATTGCTTCAGGATTTTCAACCTTGTTTAAATTAAGGCTAACCTGATTCCTCCGAGATGCTCCTCACAGACACCACATAAAAGCATTCAATGTCTTTATAAACAGAAGTCTTTTTTTGTTTTGTTTGTTTTTTCCCTGAAGTAGGGTCTCTTTTCTTCTTTTTAACCAATCTCCTACTATTGGGTTTTTTTTTTCTTTTGTACTTGGAGCTGGGCTTGATAAATTATTGACCTTAACTTTTTATTTATGGTTTTTTTTTTATCTCAAGTCTTTATGTCTGTCTTTCCCGCTTGCTAAACTTTTTCCTTCATTCTGTTTATTTGCTTTTGGATAGTATTAGTTTTTTGGTTTTCTGTTGTTTTTAGAAGCAAGCTATCTCATTGAAAATGCAGTTATTGGCTGTTGCTTTCTCTTTCTCTTATCCCCAACATCAATACTCTCCCTGCAAAGAGAATAGAACCATAAAACCTTTGAGGTCAAGCAGTCTTTGAAAACGTTCATCATTGGCAAAGAGAAAAGGTATATTGCTCTTCTGCGATCCTTTCATACACATAAAGAAGGGAACCTCAGCACAAGAGGAGGGAAGCTATTTGCAATAGCACAGCATAAACCAAAATAATCAGGCCAAAAAGTAAGAGAGGTCTACAGAAGTGGCAAATTCTTCAACTTGGGTAAGATGATGACTCAAAGATTGTCCTTAATCTGTTCTGCATTGTATCAACTAACTTGCATTGCTATATATGCTGGTAAATTCTGCAATATTCCCTTTGGAATAATATGTGCTATTTTAAGCCACTGATGAATGTACTTATACTTTGCCTTATTTTAGCAAGAATTCATGAAGGGCTGATCATATGGTGGAAGTTGCCTATCTGTGATGGGGTCATAGGTTTTATTTTCACCTTGACATTTACTCATTGTGGCAGTGGATCGATTACTTAAGCAAGCATTTTCCACCTTTAAAAGTCGAGTCTGAAAACCAAAGACTCAGTTTTCATAGGTATTGAACACCTCAGCTTTTTTTTTTCCCATTGATCGTGCTTGAGAGATGGAGGTATTTAGCACATCGCAAATTATCAGAAAGTAACATGCAGAGCTGAGCTCACACTGTTAAATGGAAGGAAATTATTATTAGTTTTACTTCACTCTTCAAGGCATTACTCCCGCCCTGTTCTACAATTACCATTCCACTGCCTGAACATCTTGACTTTGAAAAGAGCATTAAGGAAATACCTACACGTGTGCATTGCAGATCATTTCTCATCGATTTTGGTTAAAAGCTAGGAAGTCTGCATAAATAGTTGTCTTTGATGCCCTCTTACGAGCTTAAAAGCAGTAATAACCGACTCAAACTGCTAGAAATGACTGTGCATGTCAACTGCCTGATGGCTGATCACTTCTTATACATAAGCATATATCCTAGTTACCTTGATTGCTGGAATGGGCTTCTTTGGAATGAAATGCTTTTTCCCAGGGAGCAAAGCAGCTGTGCTCTGTTCCTTCAGTTTCAGCTTGTTCTCAGCTATTATCTTTTTGCGTTGTTCCAGGTAAGGCCCAAAACTAGGTAGTTTCTGAAACAAAAAAACAGGAAACATGATTATGCTTAATGGGCAGGCAAGGCAAAGACAATGAGCCACATCCTAGGGGCAGGATGTGCCCCTAGGCAGGGGGACAGGATCCTTGCTGAGTGTGACTGGTTTCCTACACAGGAAGCTGAAATTGTAATCAGTGGGACCGTACTGCAGTGAGAAGTGAATAAAAATCAGATATGAACTTCAGGATCTGATTTGAAAATATATATTGAATATTAAAATACTAATATACCATCGCAGGAAAATAGCTGAATTGCAGGTCAGCATCCAACAGTCTTCTATTTCTCCAGTGCATGCTTGCTCATAAATAAATATGTATTATGTTAAATAATTCAAATATGTAACTTTATTCCTTAAGTATGTGGAAAGGTGTCATAAAACTATCAGCTTACTTAGAAGGGTTCTGCTAATGTCTGAGAATACTTTTAGGGATATTTGGTTATGTCCATGTATTTGTAAAGCATATAAATATGTACTTTGTGATGATGACAGAGGGCTATTGGGTCTGTCAAAGTACGGCTAACAAATGCCAAATAGACAGAAATGCAGTTTGATTTCATAATTTGTCTCCATATCCCAGTTACAGATTTTTCTGTGACATTTTACCTTTGGGCCTGATTAAGCAACTAGAAGAAGATTTAATTACATACAAAGCTCATGTCTCATCCAGGAACACTGAATGTGCTAGTTCAGATTTCATAAACTTGCCAAACACACAACTTCTGGAAAAAAATTCTCTTTGGGTACACAACAGAGCTATGGAGACACTGTAGCCTGTCATGACCTCTGATCTAGGTGAATGAAACGTGTTTGAAAACATGGATTTTTGCTTGTTCGGCAGACTATATCCCTCCTCCCCTGCAACTACTTCCTTATGATGCAAAAGTATTTTATCCACCTAACTAAACTCTGTTCAGAAGCTGCTCCCATGCCGTAGAAACTACCAGGTAGTAACAGGGGATACAGAGCCTCAGTAGTTGCTAGCATTAGTTCACGCAAATATAACAACTTCAAAGAGCATATCCAACAAGACAGGACTGCTGTGGTTATCAATTTTTTAAAGAGGGAATTTCAATGTGAATTTCAAACCCAGAATTATTTAAAAATTTAACATTTTTTTTTTAATAAAGTAAATTCAGAACCAGTTACCTTGTTCTTCTGATAATCCTTAGGAGAAAAATACTTCAATGAGCTCTGCCAGTCACCATACCCAGCTTTGGGACCTCAGCTTCTTAATATGACAAATAACAGCGTTCGTGGCTGCCTGGCTTTGGGCACTCTGAGCATACAGCCAAAGGCTGAGGTCCTTGAAATGTTTCCCAGTTTCTGAGACTCGGTCTCTGTCCTCAACACCTTTTAATGTCAAGTCCAAATGAGACTCGGAGGCTCTGGGTGGTTTCCAGAGGAGGAGCTCTGCCGCAGAGGCCTGGCGTGGGCCACGTCCTGGGGCAAGCTCAACATCCATCCAAACGCAACGACAGGCCCGGGAGCTCCTGCAGACCCCATCCTTCCCAAATCTAGAGATAGTCTGAGCCTGGAACCTACCAGAGGGATATCGTTTTGTCTGTTTTATGGGAACTTTGTACCTTAATGTTAGATTGTTTATTTTCATTAGTTAATGTTTATGGCTTCACTAACTGAACAGGATAATCTTTGGGAAGAGTAGTCAAATCTGTGCAGAATAAATCAACTGCTTTTGTGTATTTTTGATGTATCCACAACCAGAAATGTCAACTACATCATTGAAATAAAGCAGGTTATCTGAGGAAAAGTGTGGGAAAAAACGATCATTTTTTATGTATAGATGAAGAGCACATTACCATGGCAATTCATTCATTTTGTATTTTTTTTCCTAAGATATGACCTCAAAGTATTCACATTTTTTATATCTATTATAGCTGCTAACTGGAATGTATAGCAGACATTTTGAAAAGCATCTAATGTCATTGGTGCTGCAAAGAAGTTATATTAGATGTTTTGTAATGACATGAATGTGGTTAAGTTAAATGATTTTTTCAAAATAAATGAAGTGATGATTAACCTAGACAACTAAAATCCAACCTGAGGTTTTACTGCCCAATCTTGTATTTCCATCAAGAATTTGATTAAATTGAATGAAAATTAATTAACTAAGCATCTGTATCTTATTCTAGTCTTGAGGATATACGGTGAGCTTCCATTGACTAGATGGAAATGGCCTGTGTGCCTTTATAAATGACTTGATTATTTTGTGTTTGGAGTCTGGTCGTTCACAAGCAGCCAAGCCAAATTTCATCAAACACTGAAAACCAGCAATCTTTCTACACCAATAAATAATACATAAAAATGTAGCCTCAGGATCTCCGGAAGGACATTATTGAAGGCTCCCTTACAAGCAATGCACAGACACACACAAGGTCGATGAGACTGCTTATTGCTCGGAGTTGTAGTTTCAAACATTTTGGAGTCAAAGGCACACAATATGTGAAGTGGCACACAATATTAAAATGAAGAGAGTTACATGTTACAGTAAAAGTGGAAATGTGTTAAAATAGCCACCAAAGAGATGGAAATTTAAGATAATCTAATTATTGTCGGGGATATCTTTTAAAGCACATGGGGAATTTAATGGCATAGTACCCAACGACAGCATGAGCACTGCAGCTGGGTGGGCTTAAATCCCTCTTTGCTTTGGAAACCTTTCTGCAATGTGTCTTCTGATATTTTTCTTTTAATTTCCAGATATCTCAATGTCACCAAACTCTTCACACATTGGAATCTCTGCAACAAGCAGAGTAATTAGCTAAACCTTGTCTGCTGATATACAGTATCAGTCTATAGATGTATTATTTGTATACACTTGTCTCTACATAGCCACAACCAAATGTGTTTCTATTCTATTACAGAGGATAACATCAATAGTAGAGCATATATATACACACACACACACACATATATACACACACACATATATATATTATCTATAAGCTTGAAATATTGTCCTGGAGAATTTTAGAGAAAGACAGACAGAAAGGAAGACAGAAAGAAAAAAAAACAAAAAACCTTTCTTGCTAAAGACTTCCAAAAGCTGCCTTTTAACTGATGAACTGTACAAATCTCCAATAACATGACGATTTTTGTTTCAGTAGTTTCTCCAGGGATTCATCATTGATGAATTTGTTCTCACCAGAAAAGCTAAATCCTACTCATTTAAAGATAACAGTATCTTCCACTAAAACTGTCTCAATCCAGATATAAAAAAGCATTACCCTGCCAATAGAGAGCTGACAACATAATGAATCAACAATGAAACCTTAAGCCAGAAAAGCTTTAAGGTGAATAAGTCTGTTTTGATTATAATTTATTCATGGATCAATCTAAAGGTAATTGAGCGTATTATCAACTAAAAGAGGTGCTTGTTTCCTAATGGCAAGAAGTAGAGGGTATCTCTCATTTCATAGAGCTGTAATCATTATGGCAGCATTAGCAAGTAGCCCCTAATTGGAATGGGGGTGGATCAGGCTGTGAACAGAAAATCAAGACTTTATTTCTGATTTCTACACTGGTCTGTTGCAAGTCAAGGTGTTTGTCTCCATGCCATGGCAAAGGGTTGTTTATTTGGGAGCTGTCTCCTGCTAAAGGGCTGTATACTGTCCACTGTTATATGACCCAGATTCGAGCTGGGACAGCTAGGTATCATCCTCAACCAAAAATAAGCACACATAGTACTACTGTATCCACAGCGCCTGCGTGGCACTAAAGCACATCCTGCTGGTATTTGCTAATGAGATGGAGGATAAAGAAGATCACTAGAAAATAGTCATTTTCATAAATGGGATTTTCAGGGAGTAACTCTCATAAACTAAATGAAGAACTTATATACGCAATTACAAGGATCAGTGGCACATGGAAATTTGGGATAAATATCATTTATTTATGAAGCAACAAGGTTTAAAAATGCTGTTTCCCCATGGCTGGAGAATTTCTCATGTCAAATGCAGTATCATAATCCAACTTCTTTTATATTTGACTGTTGTCTCCACTCTGAGGCATGAAGATTCATTCTGTAAATTTCCCTCATGCACTTTTCACTTGTAAACAATTTTAAGCGACACACAGCCTTGTCCTTCACGTACCTGGAAGGGAAGCTAAATCGTCTGACCTGACAAACTTTTTCAGTCTTCATTCTTGTTCTTGTCTAGTTCTGCTATCTGCAGCAGAAATGTCTGCACTTGAAAAATACAGAGTCTGACATGCTGAATTGCTAAAGAAGAGTTAAAATTGCTCTAATGAAATATTATGTGCTGCATGTAGTACTGATGCATTAAACAAAGGCCCACATACTCTGTGGTTAGGTAAATGGCTGGGTAATAAATGGCTGGATAATTTTCTCACTGAAGCTTTGCTGTATAAATCACTAGTGTGTTTCAGAAATCAAACACAATGTTCATCTTACACTTCCTTCTCTATAGCTTGTATTTATCAATAGATTTTTCTCTGATGTTACTTAACCAGCAGCATTCCCTCAAGGAGGGACAGGAGAAAGGAAGAGAATATAAAATTTCTCAAAATGCCTGGAAAGGACATTAGAGGTGAACCACCTTCCCAGAGCTACCGGTGGTTGGAAGGTGCCTCTGGAGATCATGTGCTCCAAGCACTCCGCTGAGGGCAGCCCACCCAGAGCAGGCTGCTCAGGGCCGTGTCCCGGCACGTTTGGCAGAGGCTCCACACTGACCACAAGCCTCCCAGCCTGGCAGTTTCAACCTGTTTCCACTGCACCTCACTGCCCATCTCCATTTATCTAGTCCATGTGTCATCAGTTTGCCATGAGGGATGCTATGGAAACACTAGTGTCAGAAAGTCTTGCTAAAGATAAACAACATCCACTGCTCTGCTCACACTCAGCTTGGTGTAGTTCTCCTTCCAGAATACCCCTCTCTTCTGCAAACACGCAAAAACGTGGGGATTCCTCCCTGTGCTGCCTTTGCTAGGATTACGAC